CGTTTGTAATCGATAGATAACGATGTGAAATATGAGCCTAAAACGAATTAGACATACGTGTTTGATTTGGACAACAAGTATTATAATTGCTTGTAGGGCTTATAATATAATGCGCTTTGTTGCGATGTAATCATAATTTCAGTGCGACGCTAAATACAAAGTTGTTAATACTGAATAGTTTTTGTTTGATGGTGACAGTAATATACTATTTTTCAAAGAATAAGAGGGTTCTCAGAAAACTAACAAATCTTTTTTTTTTTAATATTATTAGTTTCTGTCCTAATTTTCACTAGAGTACATTATATATTTGTAACATCAAATAAACGAATCCATTATTAATCATTTACAACATCTTATAAACAAGATCATACGAAATCGTATCAAGAACCATCGTAATCTCATGATTGCTCGTAACAAAACGTCAGTGAGGTTTTCTCGTTGGTATCTCTTACTTAGATTCGCAATGAAAAAAGTGTCACAAATATATATCTTCCAAAAACACAAAAAAAAAAAAAAAGAAAAGAAAAAAATGGAAAATGTGGATACACAGCAGTGTACACAAACATGAAAAGTAAATTACAGTTCTTGTAGCTAGAAATGCGAGATATTACCCTCTTAAATAAGCGGACAAATAATTTCACGACATGGATAATTGCTTTAGACGTCCAGGCGTTCAATCTCCGCGCCGCGTCGTCCCGCTGTCCAAGGGCAGGCTGCTTCCCTTCCCCAAGCTGCCTACCCCGCACTACCTGCGCTTTCACCGCCCTCGCGAGCAGGCGTCCGGCTCTTGTACGCCGGCAGAAATAGGCGCAATGCAGACCTGCCTTAAATATATGAAAACATGTGTACTCTACATGAAACTATAGGTAGATGTGAATAGCCAAACAGACTTCAAACCACGTTTATGGTCTAATCTTTTAACAATTTATTGATTTATTTAACGCCAAAAAAAAGCAACAAAAACAAACAAACAAACTTTGTGGGGGAGAAATATAATCTGTGCATACATTCTTAAGCTCCGACTACTTGATTGTAACTCACGAACAAACAAACATGAAATCACCTAAAAGCCCTCGCTGTAATCACAACCATGAATTTCTTGTTCTTCCTTCCAATGCACGTTGTTCGGCCCACTGTGTGTCGCGCGCCGGAAAATATGGAAACATATGTACTATACTTGAAAATATAGGTAGATGTGAATAGTCAAACAGACTTCAAACCACGGCCATGGTCTAATCTTTTAACAATTCATTGATTTAACGAAAAAAAAAATGCTTTGAGTGATGTGGGTGGGAGAAATATAATCTGTGCATACATTCTTAAACTCTGACTTCTTGATTGTAACTCACGAACAAACAAAGATGAAATTACCTAAAAGCCCTCGCTCTAATCACAACCATGAAGTTTGTTCTTCCTTCCAATGCACGTTGTTCGGCCCACTGTGTGTCGCGCGCCGGATCGGGGCGGGGCGGGGCGCGAGGGCGGCTGGCGCGCATATAAGGTCCCTCACGTGGCGAGAAAATTATCCATTGTTGATTGATAAAATTTTTTTTGTACAGTACAATGTCAGAGAAAAACGTGGTTGTGGAACCCCTTGGCCGGCAAACGCACCAGTAGTCCGAGGAGAGTCAACACGAAATTGCGACAACGATATTTGTGTTCTCAGGGTAGCTTACGTCTAGACAAGAGACCACCAGATACAGGACTGGTGTGTAGGACCCAACGCGAGTCCACACCATGGGCCTACGATGCCGTCAGCCACAAAAATAAGCTGGCCAAAACTTTTTTCTATCGATAACTGGATAGAGAGGAGAGCTTGTATTTCAACGTGCGTCTTCTACCGCTTGCCTTTTTTTCAGGGTATTTTTTCTGCTGCAAATTTGTTTTCTTTCGTAAAGACGACCTCACCATATGAGCGTGCATTTACTGTAGAAAGTAGTATTATGACATTGAATCGATGAAAAGATGCTGAGTGCCTAGGTCATTCTTAACACGCGAATAAAGTTTCTGTCCACCCTTTATCCACTTCGATATGTTGCACGATAATTGAAATAGCCAATTCAGCGGAACAATGATGAAACTGTACTAATCTTTCACTTTAAGTTAACATATTGCCTTTTGTCATATATCACATGGAAACGTTTGTAATGCTGATATAACGACGATGAAATATGAACTAAAAGCGAATTAGACAATACGTGTGTTGATCTTGGAGCACACAGTATTTATAATTGCTGCTTGAGGGCTTATAATATAATCGTCTTGCTTGACGATGATAATCACTGAGATAGCTGCGCCTAACTCACAAAATATGTTAAATCAGTGAATTAGTTTTTGTTTGAGGGTGACAGAAGTATTACTATTTTTTTCAAAGAATAACGAGGGTTCTCCAGAAGATCTATCAAATCTTTTTTTTTCTTATATAATTATTTTCTGTCCTAATTTCTACTAGAGATACATTAATATATTTGTAACATCAAATAAATGAAATCCATTATGTAATGGCATTTACAACATCTTATAAACCCAAGATCCTACGAAAACGGTATCAAGACCATCGTATCTCGATGATTGCTCGTTAAAAACTGTCAGTGAGGTTTTCTCGTTGTATCTCTTACTTAATTCGCAATGAAACACAGTGTCGACGAACTCAAACTATATATCTTCCAAAACACACTAAAACAAAAAAAAAAAGAAAAAGAAAAGAAAAAAGAGAAAATGTCGTTACACAGCAGCTGTATTACAACTGAAGAATTACATTTAGCTAAAATGCAGAATACACCAATAGGGACAAATAATTTTCACGACGATGTTAGCTCCATGCGTTCACCGCCGCGTGCTAAGGCAGGGCTTCCCCAAGCTTCCCCGCGCTATGCGCTCACGCCCTCGACAGCTAGTACCCGCAGCAAAACAGCGAAGTGCTAGAACGTCTCCCCTTACACACATGATATTACATTAGTACGTCCAGGCGTTCAACTTATGCCGCAGCACGGATCGCGCACGTACTTTCACCCACGTTCGCGCTATGTTTTAAGCATTGCTATTGCCCCCCAATTTATCTCGCCAAAAAGCACTAACCAAACACCTTGGAGAACTTTCTGTGCAGACAGCCTCGCGACTACGGAACGTCCCGGCAACCTGATACTAATACCTGCCGCCATCACGCACTGAAATCTGTCCTTCGTAATGCAGTATCGCCAGCCCTGTCGCGCGCCGAACTATATGAAAACGATCATGTCACATACTACTTGAAAATATAGGTGATGTGGCATAGCTCAAAACAGACCTTCAAAATCCACGGTCCTGCGTGCTCTAATCCTTGTAACACTTATTGATTATTCAACGCCAAAAGACCAGAAAAAAGCTTTGAGTGTTGTGGGTGGGAGAAAATATTAATCTGTGCATATCATCCTTAAAGCTTCCTGACTTCGTTGCTTGCTAATCAACGAACAAACAAATGAAACGTACCAAAGTAACCTCACAAGCACCGCTCAACACACCAATTGAAGTCGTTTGTTCTTCCTTCCCAGATCACGTTGTTCGGACCGCACCCACTGTGGTCGCGCGCACGGACGTATCGGGCCCGGGGGGGGCCGCGAGGGCGAGCTGGCGCATTACGGTCCCCTCACGTGGCGAGAACTGAGGCACAGTCACCAGCATCGCACGCCAGCGCCAGCTGTAAAGTCATCTGTTCGCCTGCAGGCCGAAGCCGCGACCTCCCAGAGATGCGCCGCCCGTAACAGAACAGTCGTGTATCTTCAGGACCGGTCGCACAAAGCTCCCACTTGTCTGGACTCGGCACTGGCAGTTGTGGGACGCGTGTTGACAACTAGTGAACACCGCTTAGAAGCTTTGAACGTAAAGTGGGCGCCGCTTTGTGGCTATACGTTTACATAATGCCGCGTAGAAAACATCAGACCTGAGAGGAAGGTCGCGGATGACGTTGCGGGCGGAGTGTGACGATGGCCACGTCCTCATACACGTAGGCATTCTGATTCGACGAAAGCCCACCGTTAGCCCCCGGACGAAACACCTTCATTCGGTAAATGGGACTCCGCGACCAACACTCCCGCTGATTATCTCTTATAAATTTACGGTTCCCTCCATAAAACTGTACATTGTTACATGACATATCTCTTCCTGCTATTTCTCGAGAGAAATCTGGTTATTTCCATGGAAGACATTCCCGTAACCTGAATTCCTTCTTGTGAATACTTGTTCCAAGGGTGCTTGCGCGAAAGAAAGGGGTAAAAGGGAGATTAGTTATTTGTTCTCAAATTACATCCGGAAGATGACATGGGGATTCCCGGTATCTATCCGGTTTTTGCTCCTTCATTGCGGTTCTCCTCTCCTGTCAATGTACACATTCTTAACATGAACTTGCATCACCTATTTCATCATATTGCTGCCATTCCCGCTGAACAGTATCGTTCATCGCTTTGTGCTTTTACAGTCTTGCAGAACGATCGCCTTCACCGACCAGCGAGAGGTCAACTTCACGTGCAACCACTTTCCTACTCGTAATTCCACCATACTTCACTTTTTCTTTTTTACTCCTTAGAGCCCCTTTTAAATGTTTCCTTTATAGGTCTACTTACCGACAACTCCGCATCCCCTCCCTTCATCTTTTTAAGAAAATATCTACAGCACTCCCGTGTTTTACTCACTGTCTGACTTTCCTCTTCTTCTTTTTGTATGTCCACTGCCATGTTATACTTACACCCAATTTCAAACCGATTACGAATTCACTTATTCCTATACGAGTGTGAAATATCACCTATCAGCAAAGCACGACTACTGGATTAACTCAACACTCGCATAGCGACCACAGCTCTCTATAACGACTCCGTATAACGTACACCGTACATTCGATGCTTCAGAGCATCAGGCACCCCTGTAGCCGTGTTTATTGACTAATTTCAAACGTGTCCACATGTCTTGAAATATTTCCTTGGCGAAAAATATAGACAAATTTATACTTGCAATATTTTACTGACTTTTTACTTTCTCGTGAATGTTACTAACTAGTAAAATACAGTTAATGTTTTGAGTGTTTGACGATTAAAAATTTTTACGTTCATACACACTTTTTTGAAAATGATCCTGGAAACAAAGTATTCCGTCAGTAAGCATTAGATTGCGGGACCACGAGGGGCCAGTCGCCCGGGCGACACCAATTAGAAAATTGTTTAGTAGGAATTATATCAATTTTAATGACTCTTATTTCAAAAATTAACTATAGGCTAATTAAAGGTAAGTTCACCGCCCTTAAATCTCGGACACAGTATTTCTTATAAAACAAACTTGCATTTAGATTTATTATACATTCGTTTAGATTATTTAAAAGTTAAATTTCAATTCATTCTGACATTTACACACGGTCTTCTTTTTTAAATATATTATAAGATAAAATGTACCAAACTCATACTGTATTTTTATAAATACTGTATGTAGTATATCCAACGATGAAGAAGATGACGCGTATATATCACTATATATACTATATAATATATATATAAGTATATACTTACTATATATATATATATATTTAATTTAGTAGGTGACACCATCCTAAGCGTAGGGCCGCTTGGTATCCATTAGAAACAGACTTGCCTTTA